TACAGGCAGATGCATAGAGGGTACAGAAAGTGTAAAAAGGAAGAGCAAAAATCATCAGGCATCAGGGTGATGGTGGGGGGATGGAGGGGTGATGGTGTGAGGATGGGGGCGTGATAGTGGGATGATGAGGGGGTGATGGTGGGAGGATGGTGGCCATCACCCCCTCCCAGGCACCAGCAGCTGCCTCTGCCRTCTGCCCTGGCTGGAAGGTATTGCGGGTTGAATTTCCTTTTCTCTGCACCCTTTCTCCATGGCAGCATCCCAAGATGCCGGCACTGCAGCCCTGGCTCTGCCTTACCACCATTGTCTTCGTGTGATGATACTAAAATAGATTCTGAGTTCTTGGGATTTATCATCTCTGGAAATTTCCCTGCGGACGCTCTGAACTGCCAGGCAGGCCGTAAATCCTGCCRAGGGACACACGGTTGTGAGCTCTGCTTTGTATTCTGTCCTTCCCTGGGAATAACTCTCACCCCCTCTCCTGTGCTGCAGGTCTCTACAACTCCATGGACAGCTGGATGATCGTCCCCAACATCAAGCAGAACCACTACACAGTACACGGGCTGCAGAGTGGCACCCGCTACATCTTCCTGGTGAAGGCCATCAACCAGGCGGGCAGCCGCAACAGTGAGCCCGCCCGCCTCAAGACCAACAGTAGGTGCCCGGGCACTCACTGGCCATGGCAGATGSGGGGAGAGAGTTTGATGAGCACTGGGGTACCCAGGGTATGGCCAAGTGCTCCCAGGGGGTGGAGCATACCCGTGGGCCGAGTGCATCCAGCAGGATGGAGACCCCAGGTTGTTGAATCATTGGAGTGCCCATCTTCCTTGGTGTCCCTGCTCCTTCCCTGCCTCAGGCATGGTCTCCTGATACCCTGTGTAGCCAGGGACTCCCATCAGCCCTCTGCTCATGTCAGAACCCATCTCTGGGTGGTGGCTTTACATCCCTGGGCCTTTTGGGAGCGATGCAAGGAATCACAGAGCAATTGTGTTCTCATGTGAGGCTTAGCTTGCAGAGGGTTGTGATTTGGAGAGCCATGAAGTTGAAAAGCGTCTCCATGATGGCAGATGGGGCTTTGCAGCCACACACAAAGCAGAAGCTGTGCTTTCCAGTGCCCCAGGGACACCTTGGAAGGTTAAATGTGTCTAGGGAAGGCTGAACTCTCAGTGCAGGGGAGCCAGACTTGTCCTGGCACAAACAGAGCTCCTGGGTTTGTGGAGGGAAACCTCTTCYCACTGAATGACAGCAAAGACAGCAGAAGCACTGGCACCCATGGCGTAGAGCGTGACAYGGGAGGGACAGTCTGAGGTGTTGGGGAGTAATAAGTTGGGTCTCCAGGCTCCTGCCTGCTGCATGCCTACACCTTTCCAGTGCTTCCATGTCTCTGCATCATCCTGGTGAACACAGCCATCCATCCCATCTGTCCCCTTTCCCAGCAATCGCTTCTGCCTGGATGAGGTTTTCATGATGATTTATCACCTCTGCCTCCTCCTTTTCCTTGTGCAACATAAAACTGAATAAAACAACATCAAGGCAGTGGGGCTGAGGGAGCTGCTGAGAAGCAAACTACAGCCCAATCCGCCTGTTCATTAAAAATTTATTCCTCCTGCGGCTGCTGTTTTTCAGTGCTTCCCCGGTTTTGAAAGGCGCTCACTCTGGCAATGAGGAATTGGGAAGCTGGAAGCGARGGCAGTTGGCCATGGCTGCAGCTCCCCTTGGACAGGGTTTGCTCTCTGGGGTTGTAGCTGAGTGTCTGTCACCAGAGCTGCCAGCACAGCTCTCTTGGGTTGGGGATGGGCTGGCTTTGATCAGAGCCCAGTCGGGTGTTGAGCCCCCCTTTCTGCAGGGATGTGTCTGCAGCAGCTTCTTGCACGTTTGAAACCTCGAGCAGCCCCACCTGAGACACTGCAYGGGTTATGTGTGATTGTGGTTTTGTGCATCCCAAAACCCCTTCCACGAGGACCTATCCCTCACTTCCCGCTCAGGTGCTGGGCAGGAAAGGCAGGTGGCACTGATGGGCACAGCCCTCTCTGCCACCAGGTTTGGTGTTCTTCTGCCATCTGTGTTTGTAGAAACTTCTGAATTCCTAAAGGTTTGATTTAGCCATGTATATGGATATAACAGATGTTGCTTCATTTTCTTCTGTAGCTGGCCTCAGGAGACAAGGGCTCCTTTGGATGTCCAGTTGTGCCTCCCCCCTGCACTGCAGCCACAGTACATAACCACTGGCTGTTTGTCCTGCCAGCATTTGAGAGTAGGGTTTCTCCWTTTCCAGTGGACAATATCCAGAGGATATCACACCCACACTTTTCCACTCCTGTAACCTTGGTGGAAATGTCAGCAGCTCAACATAGAAATGGCCCATTAGCATATTTCACAGCCCGTTCTGTTCCTGAAGTGATGGCTGAAGAGATCTCTCGATCACCAGAAGGTCAGTGTCAGGACACATCGATTTCCACAGCGTCAGTGCTGTCAGTGCTGGCACTAAATCTGTGTTCCTGAACAGAAACACTTGGGAGAATAGGTTTGGGTTAGTGACAGAGAGACCATCCTCTGCTGAAGCTGGGCCTGAGCAGGACTTACTTAGGAGCAGTTATACGAAAGTTGCTGAAAGTGACAGAATGCAGGGACAGGCCCAGCTCTGGCCATAAAGTACAGGGAAATGGGTTTTACAGTCCTTACCTTGGCCAGTGATTCTAGCCTTATTTTCCCTTGCAATTCTGGCTTTTCCTGACTTTTACATCTCTTGGCAAGACTTCAGTGTGGTACAGGATGGCTCCATGCACATCCTGTCTGATGTGTCAGGAGTGGATTTGATGCCTGAGCAATGGGGGGGTCACTGTTACTGACTGAATCATATTAGTGCAGATGTTTTTAAGGAGCAGGATGATCCCTACAGAAGCTTCCCAGCAGGGAATCTGTGAAAAGGTTCATAGATTTGTATGGATTTATGGCTTTCCTTTGACTTGGTGACTCAGCATTAAGGTGCTGCATCTTTGTTTCTTTCTTTGCAAAAGTTGTTGTCTGCAGGGAGGACAGGATGGGGCTGGCAGGCATGCTCTGTGGGTGTCCTGTGCCCCACAGGTGGCATCTGTGATGGCTGGTGGGAGCAGGGACACTGCCACTGCAGGCAGAGAGAAGGGACAGAATGCAGAAAGGGCTGGCTTTTTGTGCCTCTGTCCCTGCAGCTTAGTTTGCTCTCTGGGCAGAACATGGTGGGTGYGTGCAGCGAGGACAGGGATGGTTCCTTGGGAGCAGAGTGCATATCCATCCCTCCTTTCTCTCCACACATTTTCCACCAAACGCAGTCACCAGCTGCCCTCCGTCTCTGCTCTGCCCTGTCCCTGTGCCCTGCAGCCAGAGGATCTACAGTGCTGCAAGGCACTGGTGGCACCAGTGGCACCCCTTCACTGACTCCTTCATGGGGTGGGCTGCTGCTCCCCGGATTTGGCTGCGTGTCAGACGTTGTCTCCTGCTCCTGGGGATCTCATTCCAGTTATTTCCATAGCTCTTATGTAAGGCAGCAGGCAGCCTGTCCTCACTGTCCCTTTGGGCAATGACTGGAGTGTCCCAAGCCAGTGATGGTTGCAGAAGCCCTGTGGGGTCCCAGGGAGTGGGGTGGGTGTCTGGGGTCCCGCAGGGTGGGGATGCAGCTCCAGTACACACCTCCCTCTGCCTGGCTCCATCTCCACRTACCACTGACCTTGAGCATGTTCCTGGCTGCCTCCTCTGCTCCTGCATATCCAGTGCCAGACAGGATTTCCTCTGCTCCGCTCGCTCTGGCTCTGCAGGGAAGGGAGGGGTAATCCAGCTGATAAATGCCTCAGGGGTGCAGCTGGCTGTGACCAGGAYAGCTCCCGAGCCTCATGCAGGGATGACCAGCTAAAGGCCATCAGGAATATCCCAGCGAGCTGAATTTGTAGGATAAAAGTTATCTGAGTGAGCAGCCCAGTGTGTACATATTAATGATGAGAGGAATTGTTAATGATGAGAGGAATTGTCGCAACCCTCGGCTCTCTGCCAGAGCTGAGGGGTTGGAGAGGGCAGTGACTGGGGCCACAGAGGATGGTGATGGTGGGGGAGCTGGGAGTGAAGGCTGCTCTGTCCTCTCCCACAGTCAGAACGCCTGCTTCTTCTGGCAGCTCCCTATTCCAGGGGGTTGAGGTGGGGACTGTCAATGACCTCTGTGAAGTCTGTGTTGTTTCCCAGTGCCAGAATGATATTTTGGGAAGGGGGCTGGTGGTASCAGGTGCCTGACTGTTCTCTGAAATGCCCTCTGATGCATCCCAGCCCATGTGCTCTTGCCTCCCAGCCTGCCCATCCCAGYCACTGCCTGTGGATGTGGCTCAAGCGCTTGCTCCAGGATGTGSCAGCCCAAACCAGTGATGAGGGCTGGGCTCCAATTCTTCACACTGACCTTAGCAAAGGGTCGCCTTCAGAAACAAGGCTGTGAGTGTCTCTCTCCTGATGGAGCCAAGTATTTTTATACCTTACTTCCTCAGAGCTTGTCTCTTTGCATTACTGCCATACGGCAGGARGATCAGAGCAGCCAGAGGAAGGAGAGGGCAGGTCACTCCCAATTTGCAGCTTTACTTTCAGGCTTCTCAACTCAATTATCCAGCAAATTGGGCTCCAAGGAAAACYAGCACAAGCTACAATCATGTATTGAAGCACGGCACAGATGAGCTCTGTTTTGCAGCTGCACTTGTCGCTGATGTTGCAGCTCTTKGCAGAGGTTCCCAGCTGTCCTGGGGTTCTCCTTGTGTGTCTGTTTTCAGGGGTTCCTGGCTGTTCCGGGGGTCCCCAGCCCTGCTCAGCTGTTTGCAGGGGTTCCTGGCTGTTCTGGGGGTCCCCAGCCTTGCCCAGCTAATCTGCAGGAGTTCCCAGCCCAGGATCAGGACTCCATTGCCATGTCAGTGTTTCTCCTTGCTGCGACTCMGTGTCTGTAGCCAAAAATGGGAGAGTGCAGGAGGACACAGTTCGTCATGCCCTGAGCCATGTACCAAAACATAAAGGTGTAGGCAGGACTTGGGATGTTCTCTGCAGCTGTCATTTGCTTTGTCCTGAAGCAGATGAATCCCTATGGAAATGCTCTCCAGTGCCTGTGTGCTCTTCACTGCATCTCACATGAAAATACAGCAGCAAAACCCACCTGAACTCAATTTGCTTCTTTGCAGCATCTTGGGGTTTTGATTGCAAATCCAGGGATAGTCTGAGGACTTCCAGAGGGAAATCACTGACAAACAAGGAGGTTGGTTGAAGCTTTAGGACACKACTCACMTCTGGTCTAGCTTTGGTAAAAACACCCAAGCAAACCACTATTAAATATGCCAAGTTGAGAACACGAGATGTAAAAGCACCAGAATTTGGTTGCATGTGTAATTTATTGTCATGCCTGCTGCTCCTGCATTGTGCAGAGATCTGGGGGCTCCCTGCGGGTGCCAGCAGCAAGGGGCTGTGGTGGGACCCACTCCCCACTGTCTCCACCAGGCTTGATGGCTGCTGCCACAGCCCCTCACAGTCACACCAGTTATCACCAGTGTCAGTGACATGGACTGTCTCAGACRGGCTGTTAGGGCATTCTGAGCCCTGCAGAGACCCCTCATAGACAAACCCACCGCTCTCATGGGAACCCATGCTCAGCTCCTTCCTCAGGACGTGCCATGCATGGAGCAGTTGTTTCCCAGAGCGGCTTTTCTTTTACAGCAGCAGCCAGGAAGGATCCACCTGCCCTCAGCATCCATGGGTGCTCTGGTGTTATGCAGATGGGTAAACTGAGGCACAGACTGCCCAAAGCCTGTGACAGTGCAGGGATGGAGCAGGAGATCCTCAGGGCTGGGCAGTCTCCTTTACTTGTGCCAAAATCATGACGCTGTAATGGAAAGCCAAAGTCTGACCTGATCCAAAAGCAAAGAGAGAGGTGGGAGAACAGTGGAGTAGGGAGCAGTAAGGCTCCACAGGTACCCTGTCTCTCTACCCCCCCCTCCCGAAAATGGAGGGCTTTGTTTTGGGCTTCTGAAAGGGCAACCTTCTGGCTTCTCCTTTTCACATCTGGTCTTGAAACAGCCCTAAATTATGAAAGGAGAGGGGAAAAAGAGCATTGAAGCAAAAGGGATTGTAAACCCCCCCTTTCCCCAAAAAAATAGCTCAGCCTGGCTGAGCAGAGTGACTCTGGTAGAGCAGGGTGGGGGCAGGGGCTGGGGCACATTTTACATCGTTACCAGAGTACAGAAGGGAACCTCTTGAATGGGAAATAAGACACTGGAAGTTAATAATGCCCGGTAAGGAGTCCCTGAATGTCCCCAGCCCCTCACTTGGGGCTACCTGCCAGGACAATTCAGCCTTTCCCAATGATGCTGCCTGTCTTGGCTGCTCTCCAGTCTGGATCTTCCCSTGGGAGCAGGAAGCTCACTCTCTGCATGTTCAGGTTCTACCTCCTTTCCCTCTGTTTGGCCCAGGAAGGGGAGTGAAGGTGTTGTCTGTGTCCCTGCTGGATATCTATAATAYAGGGTTCTCAGCTGGTGGGAGACCCTACAGCACCAAAGAGCCCAGGAAGACCTTTCCTGCRCAATGATGCTAACAACACAAATCCTAATCCATGTGTCTCCCGCCCACAGGTCAGCCATTCAAGCTGGATCCCAAGATGGCTCACAAGAAGCTGAAGATCTCCAATGACGGGCTGCAGATGGAGAAGGACGAGAGCTCCTTGAAGAAGAGCCACACGCCGGAGAGGTTCAGCGGGACAGGCTGCTACGGCGCGGCTGGCAATGTCTTCATCGACAGYGGCTGCCACTACTGGGAGGTGGTTGTGGGATCCTCCACCTGGTAAGGCACCACCTGTGTGAGAGGCAATGCTTTCCCAGTCTGGCCTCTGCCAGAGATGCCCACCCTGTGCCCCTTTCACAGGCAGGTGTGCTCTGAAAGCACAGGATGCCATAGCCATCAGGGCTGGGCTTGGTCCTGTGCTGGGACTGGAGGGTGCTGAGCAAAGCTTCTCCTCTCCTGCAGGTATGCCATCGGCGTGGCTTACAAGTCAGCCCCCAAAAATGAGTGGATCGGGAAGAACTCCTCTTCTTGGGTCTTCTCCCGCTGCAACAACAACTTTGTGGTGCGGCACAACAACAAGGAGATGCTGGTGGAAGTGCACCCACAGATGAAGCGCCTCGGCATCCTCTTGGACTACGACAACAATGCACTCTCCTTCTATGATCCAGCCAACTCCCTCCACCTCCACACCTTCGAAGTCTCCTTCATTCTGCCAGTGTGTCCCACTTTCACCATCTGGAACAAATCCCTGATGATCCTCTCGGGGCTGCCTGCCCCAGACTTCATCGATTACCCTGAGCAGCAGGAGTGTAACTGCCGGCCCCAGGAGTCCCCATATGTGTCAGGAATGAAAGCCTGTCACTAGGCTGCCGAGGCCTGCCCGTGCCCCGTGGCAGCACTGGCCATGCCAGTGGGTGCTGGTGGTCAGAGCTGCCCTCTGGGAGCCCCCTGGCAGCCATGCCAGAGAGCCACTGTGACGCCCAAGCAATGGGGCACCGTTCACACCCAGCTCCATTTTATTTTAATGGAAAAGTGGAAGAACCTGGAGCCATGGCTGGAAATAAACTGCTTTTGGTGAGCTCCAGAGCACGCAAGAGCAGCTGGAGCAGCTCCCTGGCGGTGGTTCCCATCCCACCCCTACGAGATTGTCACCTGGATGGTTCTGTCTTCCCTTGGGGGCTGAAAAGGCCAGGGCAAGTTTCAGGGTGACCTGAGATGCCATGGTGGTCAGGGAATGGCTTGTGCATCCCAGGAGGCRCAGGTTGGGACAGGAGGGATGGGCTCTGGAGCCTGCTGTCAGCTGGTGTGGGGAACCAGAGCACTGAGCAGCACTTTCCGGGGAGGACATTCCACGTGGCTGAGGCTTGGTGGYTTCTCTGGTGGGGTGGGTGAGGTATGGAGCCATCGGGCTCAGTGAGCACTGGCAGTGGTTGTGTGATGGATGGGGGTCCTGTGGAGGGCAGGTGGTGGTCTGTGGGAGAACACCTGAGGGTGTTCTCACTGGCTGCCATGTTGCAGCTGGCATGGTCCTGATGCATTTTCAGGGTCCTACAGTGAAGAGCCATGGACCCCCACCCCACCATGGCTCTCCTTTGAGAGCTTCCCAGTAACCAGGGGGGCCTGCATCCTTGAGGAGCTGTGGCCCCTGGCACAGAGGTTTGGCAGCTGCTCCCTCCCAGTATGGGGTCTGGCCAGCAGTGCCCTGTCCACACAGGCTTCCATTAGCGCCCTGTCTGGTGTCCCAGCCGCAAAACCTCATCTTCCTGCCCTGAGTCCACACCATAGAGTCCTGCCCCAAGATGACCACTATGCTCTAGGGCCCAAAATCTCAATTTAYGACCCAAAATATTGACTCCTGGTTCATTCTCCACCATGCCAGRGGGTTGGACTGGGTGAATTTTAAAGATCCCTTCCAGTCCAATCTCTTCCATGATTCTGTGGCAGTGTGAGTGCAGAGCCAATCTGTGGCAAAGGACTGAGTCCATCCCAGGGGCTGGAGATCTTGGTTACTGGGAGCTCTTTGAYTGTCACCAATATTCCCACCACCCACGAGCATCAAGTCTCCTGACCAAGCTCTACTTCCCGGGTTTTTTTAAGAGGCCAGAAGGAGATGGGCTGGCACACAGTCCCTGTATCACAGTGGGGGTCCATGGCACAGTTTGGGGCCAGTGGGCATRTGAGTGGCTGGGACATTGTGGGGACAAGGTGTTCAGGCATTGTGGTGGCCCAAGGCAGCTAGTGCTTGAGGTTTGCTCTGACATTTGAAACCCCTTTTCCTCCTCTGGATGTGGTGCCTCAGTGGGATTGGGAACCACAGAGCCGGGACCACCCAGCTCTGCCAACCTGTCCCTTCTTTTGGAGCTTGCTGATAGGGAACTGCCCCTGCTCATCAAACCTGATTTCCTTCTATGGCAGGGGAACCCACCTGTTTGATCTAGGAAAGCCTGTAGATGGGATCTTTTTGGGCTTCAGCAAGATTTGGATACTGTCTCTTCCAGGATCCTTCTGGACCAACTGTCCAGCCCACAGCTGGATAAAYACATCRTGGGGCAGGTGAGCAACTGGCTCACAGGTCAGGCACAAAGAGTGACATCAGGCTGGCATTGGCCACTAATGAGGTTCTGCAGGGTTCCGTCCTTGGCCTGTGCTCTTCAGTATCTTCATTAACAACCTGGACCTAGGATTGGAAGGAATACAAGTCAGTTTGCTGACAACACTAAACTGGAAGGAGTTGTTAACTCCCTCAGGGGYAGAGAGGCCCTGCAGAGAGACCCAGATAACTTACAGAATCACCATCCGTGTGAAGTTTAACAAGGGAAGGTGCTGGTTTCTTCACCTGGGATGGGGCAACCCTGATTGTCTGATCTGTCTGGAGTGGGGAACGAGAGGCTGAAGAGCAACTGCAGGAAGGGACATGGTGGTCCTGGTCAGTGGCCAGTTGGATCTCAGTCAGCAGTGCCCTGGAGCCAGGAGACAAATCCCTGTTCTGGGGGGCATCAGGCCCAGAATATGCCAGGAATGGGATTGTCCCGCTCTGCTCTGGTCTGGGGGGGCCTCACCTCAGGTGCTCGGGGCAGTTTTGGACACCACAATATAAAAAAAGGCATGGTGCTATTAAGAGAGTGAACAGAGGAGGCCACAAGGATGAGGAAGGGTCTGGAGAGGTCTTCTGAGGAGTGGCTGAGGTCACTTGGTTAGTTCAGCTGGAGGAGAGACAGGAGACCTCTGTCTTCAGCTYCTCCCAAGGGGRAGTGGAGGGGCAGGTACCCATCTCTTCACTCCTGTGRCCAGTGACAGGACTGAAGGAAATGGCTGGAGCTGAATCAGGGGAGGTTTTGTTTGGATATCAAGAAGTTTTTCTCTCAGAGGGTAGTCAGGCACTGAACAGGCTCCTCAGGGAATAGTCATGGCCCCAAAGCTGCCAGAGCTCAAGCGGCATTTGGACAACACTCTCAGGGATGCACAGGGCAGGACTGTTGGGGTATCCTGTGCAGGGCCAGGAGCTGAACTCGATCCCAATGGGTCACTTCCAACTCAGCCTATTCCGTGATTCTAAAGTCCAGGCTCTGGGAGCAAGTGGCTGACTTGGACAGGGAAAGAGCACCTTGGGGCTCGTCCCATGAGTGCTGTGGAAGAGACTGGTTGAATTCATCTGGAGCCAGTTCAGAATTCAYGTGATGACTCCCAGTAGTGACCTGGCCAAGGGGATGTATGTCACTGAGTGTGGTTGTGGTGGTGACAGCTTTGCTCGGGACAGTGCACRGAAGAGCCTGTTCCCAACATGCCATCCCTCCATGTGTTCGGGCTGTGGTTTTTGGGACAGGGAGGTGGCCATCATCTCGRGAAAAGGTCTGCTGCCTGCCCTACTGAGCTGACAGGGGTTTCTCTCTGATCCAGGCTGCTTTCCCATGATGCCTGGCAGGGACAGCACAGGGGATTCATCCCTCCCCCTGAGCAGATGGGGCCGCTTCATTTGCTACTTCCAGCGCCGGGGTGTAGGAGCACAGGTCAGAGTGCAGCAGGGACTCATCTGCTATCTCCACAGCCTGCCCCATGGCCCCGGTTTACTTTGGGAGGCTGTCAGCCTTGTAAGTTGGATGTTTTTCATGGGAAAGTCTCATGGAAGTCCTTTCCCCTTGTGCTGGTTCCATCTGGGGTGGCTCACCCTGTGTCACCCTCAGAGGGATGCTGAGCGCAGGAGGTGGGTGCTGGCACTGCTGGGATGGGCTCGGGTGGTCTCAGCTTCCTCAGCTCAAGGACCACGAGCCCCTAACATGATGTTTGCACCTGATGAAATTGCACTAATTATGGGACACCCTGCCCCCCACCCCCACCCCACCCCACCCCCTTCTTGTACCTGGGCAGGCTGGGGGAGCTCCACACCCCAAGCAGGGGCCTTTCCCAGTCACCCACATTGTCCTTTTGTGGTACTGAGAGCAGAGCSCACCCAAGTGTCACCATAATTTGGGGAGCAGCAGCCCCATCCCTGGGCCCTGCTCAGGACATGATGCAGGGGCAGGACATGGAGGGAGGCCATGGTTCATCTGCTCCTGGTGACACCAGTGTACAGGTTCAGGATGTGTGAACTGCTGGCTCTCCTCGGCCTCCCCTTCCACATGTAACATTCCCGCTTCAGTTTTGTTTGGGGGAAGGGTTGTTCTTCCTGTTGTTTTTTTTCCCTTTTAGTTGGATTTTTTGCAACTTCTTTGTTAATGTGTGTGTATATATATATATATATATATATATATAAAATATAATATATATACGTTACTGGGTATGTCTGTGTATGGGGAGGCCAGGAGGTGAAGACAGCCCTGGGATCTTCTTGTTGGCCATTACAATGTTCCCCAAACCTGGCAAAACATGGCTGTGAATCCACAGGAGCAGAGGGGATATGTGGTAGCATCCCAGCAACAGCTTTCCTTGCRCTGGGCTCAGCCCAGCCTGGAGAGCCCGTAAGGTGGCCAGGCACATGGGATGCTAAAGCTCTGTCCACAAACATCTGTACACATAAATATGAGGCACCCCACTGTCGTGAATGAAGACTCGGTGTTCTCATTATCCAGGACACTGAGTGTGCCAGCCTGCCCTTTCCCCAGTCTTGGATGGCCACAGGTATTCTGGACATCTCTGAGTGCCAGCCAGGTCCTGGTGGAGCCCAGGGCACTCTGCCCTCCCCAGTGCCTTGGAGAGGGCAGGGATTAAGCTGGTGGTGGRGCCAAGCTGGTGATGGTGCTGAGCACCGGCCATGACATCCCTGCTCGGCAGAGCCCCTGCCATGCACAGGAGCTGGCAGCCAGCAAGGAGGAACTCAGTAATTCCCCTCTCGGCCACAGCCCCGAGCTCTGTAATCCTCCAGCCCAAGCAGCACTGTGCCCCTTTGGCTTGGGACCTTGGGGTGGCCAACTGGGGTGTGCATCCCTTGGGTTCTCCCAGGAGCCCCACCAAGCAGGACTGGTCCCAGGTGGGATGGGACTCCCTCTCCTGGAATTGGCCACTGGGCAGAAACTGCCCTGATGCTGGAGAAGGGGCATCGGGGCAGTCTCCTGAGGGGAGCACAGACACACAAACCTGCAGAAGATAGAGCCCATTTTTGGAACGTAAGTGCCTAAAATATTTATGAAAATGGAAAACTTACGGTGCAAAGTGACACTGTGGAATTAAATATTTCTTAGTCTATGCCTTTGCTCCAGGCTTTTTCCTGTTAAACATTAACCACCAGCACATGGAACCTGCCTGGAGAATGAGTTGCTGCTTCCATTACAGACAAACCTGTGGCGCTTGCATTGCTCAGAGCTCTGCCCTTGCTGTGGGGTGTCGGTGACAGATGGGCTGGATGACAGCACTGATGGGCCACATGCCAACTCTGATGTTGGTGCTCCTGCTTCTGCCACAAAGATCCCACTGCTTAAAACCCCACACTGAGGAGTGGGAGGCTGCAGACCCCAGGGCTCACAGCCTCCCATTTCCAGACCCAGTATTCCCTGGTTTAGAGCCTGGCAGGGTAGCCCCAGACCACTGCAGCTTTCCAGGTGATTGCCCCACACCATCCTATTCATCCTACCCCATCACTCTGCTCCAGCCTGGTGTGCTGCATGTCCTGGGACAAGTGGGTTCTGGCAGGTGCTCCTGAGCCCTGACCACTTGTCAAACAAATCATGACACAGGTCCCAAAAGCCAGCGGTACCCTAACCCTGATGAGCAGCCCCCATGGTGGGAGAGACCCTGACCCCTGGCACCCAGCCTGTCCTGAGCCCTGTGACCACCCAGTGAGCAGCAAGGATGCAGTAAGACCAAAAATCTCACTATTCYCAGAGTCTGTACAAGGGCACACAGATCCTCTCCACAAATCCAGGACAATCACACACATAAGTGTGTACAAATCCCATCCTACCTCAGCTGACTCCTAAATCAGTCCCTCTCATTTACACCTTCCAGTTTTCCAGTGCTTTGTCTCTACCGACTGGTACAGAGAGGGGAGGGAGAGAAGGAAGGAAAAGACAGGAGCATTGCAAAGTCGGAGCTAAGGACATTCCAGAGGTTTGGGTGCCCGTCTGTGCAGAAGCTGGGGGTACCCAGCCACACCGGCTCCTTTCRCCATGGGATGGTCCTCCCTGGGAGAGGACCTGCTTCCCCACTCCATAGGATTGACACAGCATGGGGATCTTCTTTTCTTTTAAACTGAAAAAATAAAACCTTCCAAAGCAGAAACATTCCCCGAATTGCCATAAATGGGCACTTGAACAGCAGAGCCTCGGYGTGGAGAGGTGAGGCACTGCTCGGCTCTGCCATCAGCCCACTCCCAAACTTWGTGAAAAATCTCCCTGTGCACCCATCAGAGTCTCGGATGAGCCTCTGGACCCTTCGGGGGTTCATCTGCGGGGGCTCAGACTGGCTGTCACAACAGCTCAACAGTGTGGACCGTCTGCTCCGTGCAACCAGAGCTTCCAGACGGACCCTGCGGTGGCGGAAAGGCAAGAATTCTCTGCATGGATGTGTCTGACACACTGCTTCCCCCATACTGCTGGCAGGATTCCTGCCTCGGTGGCTCAGGCTAGGAGTGGGTGTTGCTGTGAATCATCAGGATGGATGTTTGCCCAGTGCGTGGAGAGCTGGCGGGGCTGGGAGTTGGGAAGGGCACACGTTGGCTAAGCAGGACCCGAGGGGTACCGGGAATCACATCCTCCCTCCTCCCTATCCCTCCTCCTCCCCTATCCTTCCTCCCTCCACCTTGATGGAATGAGAGGAAGCTCCACATGGTAGCTCTGGAGGTTGCTTCATTCTCTGCAGAACGATGTTAARTGGGGAAATGAGTCCTCGAAGGTGAGGATATGTTTTCCTTTGAGGTTTTCCATGGCTGTGCTTCATTGTCAAAAGCCTGAAGCCCATCTCCAGGGCAAACCACAGCACAAGGCAAGGCCCAAGGGGATAAGGAGCACTGAGCCCTGGGACARCAGAGCCAGGAACTCATCACTGCTGAGGCTGCTCAGGCTGGCTTGGCTCAGAGCCCACTCAGTGCCAGCCAGGGGGGATGGGCTTAACAGGGGGTGCTGGGCAAGGGGAGAGCAGAATGCAAAGGATCAGCCTGTACTGAGATGGTGCCAGGGAAGAAACATGGCAGTGCCACCTTTGTGTCCTCTGGCTGTGGCCAAAACCCCCTGAGAGCCATCACCACCATGGGATTCCTCCCGCTTTCCCCTCCAGCCAATGCTGGGCACAGCCAGCTTCTCCAGTCCTTGCAAATGCTGAGGATGGTCCAGGGCTCTCTGTCATAACTCCTGGAAACCAGGGGAAACTGTTTAAAGGATGTAATCCCTGGCCACCTATTTCTCAGAAACAGCCAGTGCCAGCACAAGCCCAAGCAGGAGCTTTTCCCTTTCTCTTCCTGCTTTATCTGGTGCCTTTCCCTGTCAGCCTCAGGTTTCTAGGAAACAGCATCCCTTGTTGTGAAAGCCAATTTAAAACCATCACTCACATGGCAGATTGTTTCATGGAAAGGGAAAGGCTGCACTGAAATGATGGAATGAGCTTTGCTGCTGCTTTCCAGGAATGTGCTTTAAACACAAGAGGCTTCAGCGTCACAAATACTGAAAAGCAAACCATAAATGGATTCCCCAAGTCAACCAGGAGGGGGGAAAACAGCGTGTGGCACAGGCTTGGGAAGGCTAATGGCAGGTTTTGGGGGGATGACAGGAAGATTGATGTTGGCTTTTTGCTTTCCATTTCCTCTGTAGTTCATGAAATATGAAATATTAAAAATCCCTCCCTTGACAAAGCTAAAAAAACTCACTGCCTGGGAACCCTGGGGACCTCCCTGCTCTGGGGAGCTGCAAAATTAAGAGATAAGAGAACTCACTGGGCTTATATAGCAAGTGGCATCAAGATGTCTCATCCTATCCCTATCTGCCGCAGCAATGGGATGGGATGGGGTGGGATAATCCTCATTGGAAATAAACACTACAGCCCTCCCATCCAGAAATGAAAATCACTTTCACTGATTATTTCACGCCAGGTTGGAAAAAAACCCCGAAATAATAGTTAAATAAATGGACAGAGAAGGACATCTTGAGCTGCTCATAGACTGCACAGGGCAAACTAGTTAAGAGTCTGAGCTGGCCTGAATTAATCCTTAATAAAAYTTGAGATTTTAAATACTCATCTGAATAACCAGCCCCTAAAACTAAGCATTCCTGATCATTAGACAAATCTGAGCATTGCTTAATATCTTGCAGGAATATTCCTGGTCTGGCAAGGGAGTCATGGACAACACCTGGAACAAGACCAAAAGCCTTTATTGAAGAATTTCTGGATTTTAAGACATGTGAAGGGGAGGGAAGGAGGAAGGAGGGAGGTGGTGAGGACATCAGTGCTCGTGTCTCAGATGAAAAACATATGCAGGGGGAACCTTGGGAATTCTCCTGAGCTGCAGAAACTCATCCTGAGCTGCAGAAGCCCATCCTGAGCTCCAGGAGCCTGTCCTGAGCTGCAGGAACTATCCTGACCCACCTGGAGCAGGTGGCCATAAATTCCAGCCCTTCACTGGCGCTTGCAAATCCCAGCTGGCCTCTCTCCTGAGAACATCCCATCCAGGCTAACCACTGCATCTTCCGAGCTTTGGAGCTGGGCAGGAGCAGCACAGGGACTGATAATGGAATTGGGTCCAGTTCTCCATGGCAACAAGCAAAAACTGGGTCAGTGCAGGATACGAGGAGCCAAGCACTCCCAGGAGTTTTAAAAGTAAACACCAGACAGAAAATAAGACACAGGGAGCCAGTGGGGAGAAAGGGACCCTGGGACCCCTGAGCAGAATCAGTGCCCCCATCACCACATGTCACAGGGAGCAGTGGGTTCCCAGTCCTACCCTGGGAGCAGGGGCACTGGGAGCTCCTGTGGGTCCTTGTGCACAAGACAGTGGATCCAGGGCTGCACAGAGTGGGGGCTGCTCAGTCCCCAAGGCACACACAGCCCCCTACAGCTACAGTCAGCAACTGAGCCTCAGAAATGTGTCCTGCCCCCTAKTTCCTATTGCTTTGAACCCAGTGCCTTCTCTCCACATGGCCCCTGCTCTCCTGCCCCCTGGCTCTGATTTGTCCCTGTTTATTTATTTACACAGGTGAGCAGGCTGACATCCAAGATCGGCATTCTCTGTGCAGAGGCCATTGGTGTGAAAATCCTCATTACAGCTCCTCCCTGACAGGAGCTCTGCTGGGCTCTGCCTTTGATCAGCCAGATTCCTGGATGGAGGCCAGATCTGTGTGATGCAGCCGCTGCCTTTGCTCTGTTCAGAAGCCTTGTGGCAGAGACTCCATCATTATCCCACTGCTAACACTCAGGTGCTACTGCCRTGACAGCCAGTCAGTAATTACCTGWGTGATGGGGTCAGTGCTGAGCTGTCAGGGCAGCAGCGATGGGTGAGGTGATTTGAGGGGGCTGCAGGGCAGAGTGGGAACAACTGGGTGGAACTGGGTAATTTTTAAGGGTCCTTCCAACACAAACCATTCAATGATTCGAGRAAGCTAAACACCAGAACAATGAGAAAATGACCTGCACAGTTTCCTCAACGCCCATCAGAGCCACGAATTTGTCTGCTGTGGTTACTGATGGTCATGAGGAACCATCACCACCTTCAGCCACTTTGATGATTTAATTGATACCTGGGCTCTGAGCTTTCATGTACTGAAATATATGTCCATCATTTGACAGACCTTTGCCCTTCATTTGTCATTAAAATCCCTCTGTTCTGTTCCCAGGGTGTCACCCTGATGTGAATAACTTCTCTCAAGTGGTGTCTTCATTTGTAAAATGGGCTTTTTAATCCTGCTCCACCTGATAATGAATTAAACACGCTCTTAACATTCAYAATGAATTAAACACGCTCTTAACACAGCACCTGGAGGACAGAGAGAAGTGCTGTTGATGACAAAATTATGGTGTTATTTTATTTCACTCACTGCACAAATACATAGCAGCATCCTCTGAGCCCACTGAGTGCCTTCATCCTCATGCCACAATGGAGCCTGAGCCCTGCACAGCCACACACTGACCCAGCTCACAGCCACAGGTACTTCCCAATCCAGTCATTACYACAAAGGTCTCAGTTGGTCAGCAAGGAGCTGGCCAAAGCCCTGCATGTCCTGGGAAGGTGGACAAGGGGGGAAAGTGGCCATGTCAGGATGCTCCCTCAGTGTCACTGCATGCCTCACCTGCCCAGGACAGGCAACACTGGAGCAATCTGGGGCTGGTTAATGGCACAGGAGCCTTTTATCCCTGATGACATGGGTACATCAGATGTCACACACAGAACCCATATGCTCAAGGCTCCTAAGCCAGGTGGGATTTTCCCCTGGGTTGTTCAAGGTGATGTAAACAAATTGTACCATGCCTGGTTCCATGGGAGCTGGAATCTACCCCCTGTACTCTGTGCACTGCCCTCCCATGTATCTGGGCCTGTCCCTGCACGGTATTTAACCTGGATCTCCCCTCAACCCCCTTCAAATCACAGAAYCATGGAATAGCTTGAGCTGGAAGGGACCCCCRAGGATCATCCAGTCCAGCTCCTGGCCCTGCAGATACCCCAACAATCCCATCCTGTGCCTGAGGGTGTTGCCCAAAYGCTCCTGGAGCTCTGGAAGCCTTGGGGCTCTGCCCATTCCCTGGGGAGCCTGGGCAGTGCCCAAGCACCCTGTGGATGAAGAACCTTTTCCTGAGATCCAGCCTAACCCTGCTCTGACTCAGGTCCAGCCATTCCTTCAGGTGGAGATGRAAAATGAGGAGCTTTATAATGAGGTCCTTCTGTCCTCAGTGGCCTCATATTCTTTTTCACTGGCTGCCAGTTAAACAGCAGCTGCTGCTTCCAGAAAGACTTTAAGGAACAAAAGGTTTTTCTGGTTTTTCTGAAGAAGATGCCAAGGTACCAGTGAGGCTGGGTCAGCTGATCACAGTTCATCGCTGTGGTCCCAGGGCTAAGCACAGCTTAGGGTTGTCACACTGCAATGGGATGGAGAGCTCCGGGTACTGGACCTGGAGCTCTGTGACTTCTCAACCCCAACTCAGCCAGGATTGGTCTGGAAAGAAAAGGGCTGGGATGTCGGTGTACCAACTCACAGCAAGCACATTAGTGCTTCAAAGCAAAGCCTGTGAGAGTAAATGGTGTTTGGGAGCTAAAAATGGGCTCACAGGAAATATGGAGTCCCTGGGGGCTGCGGGAAGGGGAGAAGGGAGGATCTGCCCATCCATCAATCGGGGCTGTGGTGCAACTTGAGGAGTCCAGGGGYTCAGGTATGGCATGAAGAGACCAGGAAACTCTTTGAAACAAAGCAAAAATTAGGAGCCTTCACCTATAGGTTTTGAGCTGGATCTCATRATTTATCTACAAGCGAGTTCATTAAATGACATCTCCAAAGTTCCCAGTGAGATGCTCCTCAGCATCACATTTCCACCTAAGACAGACCAGCATCATCTCAAGTTCAGGGAGTCACCCCATGCTCCAGCCCTGCTCTTGCTTTGCTCACACCCACACCAGCTGTGACCTCCTCCAAAGGCAGCTCCAGTGGAATTTTTTGATCTCAGCCCTCTGAACAKGCTCTTACCTGGCTCAGCAGCAGCCAGGTGGGAGGCAAGTGCTTCCTGGACCTCCTTTACAGAAATCCCTCTTCTCCATGCCCAGCTCCAGCYCAGTGCTGCTAGGTGACACCTCAGCAGAACCCAAGAGCTGGCCAGTCAAGCCATAGACCTAAACGACCAGAAACCAGGGTAGTGGAGGAATTTGTAATTAAATTGCCATTAGATGGGTAACAGATTGTCTGGCAGCTGACAGTGAGTGAAAATGCTCCGCTCTGTCATGTTTTATCAGCATGAAAACCATTTGCAAGTGCTCTAATTACATTCCTAATTGCCAATGTGATTAGGGACCTGCAGCTGTTCATTAAGCGTGTGTCACCCTCAGCCAGCAATCTGGAAGAGAGAATATTTAATTAATTGAACATTGGATGAGGAGATGGCCAGACCTGGAGGCTGAGATCCTTGTGCTGAACAGAGCTGGTGGGCAGCAGCCACCTCCTTCCAGCTCTGGGCACGGGGTCACACAGCCACTGTCAGGAACCTAATAATCATAAAAACCACAGGTTGCTGTCCCCATTATTCCCACAGGAGCTCTCCTGCCCTGATGTCCGTCCAAATTTTTATCTTCTCAGCAGGTCATGCTTCTTGTCAGTGGGACAGTATGATTCCTATAGCTGCTGATCCAATGACCAGGCCCCAGAGGGGGATAGGGCCTTCAATGTGCCCTATTYGATTCCTTTCCTTACACTCCATCCCTCCTGGCCACTCTTCCCAGACTTCTCTTTGTTTGTTCTTTCTCCTTCCTCAGACACGTGTTATAGCTCACATCAGGGTTTCCCATTGAAACAGGTTGCCCAGAGGAGCTGCGGCTGCCCCATCCCTCRAAGTGTTCAAGGCCAGGCTGSAGCAGGCTCTGACCAAGCTGGGATAGTGGAAGGTGTCCCTGCCCATGGCCAAGGGTTGGAACAGGATGTATTTTAAGGYCCMTTCCAATCCAAACCATTCCACAATTCCATGTTGCCATGGTTCTTCTTCCAGCTCCCCCTGCTTGCCTGAGCAGCCACACAGAGAGAGAGAAAAACTCAAGTGCATCCACATCAGCTCATTTCTTCAAATTTAACATACTCCAGTGCCTTAAAATATTCCTGGTCACAACAGGGACAGTCTTAGGAGGCTTCACCTTAATCCCTGTTTAATTTCCACTTAAGAAAATGTCACTGTGGATACTTAATAATAATTATTTCTGGGTTTTGCACAGTTACTTTCAATTAAATAGCCCCAAGTGTTTCATAACTCTTCAAACAGACACKAAAGCACATCGAATCCTGCTCCCCATCCATTAACTCTGGTGCTTCTGTCCCTGCAGCCTGGAGCTCCCAGTCAGACAGTCACTCCAGTGCTGAGGGATTGTGTGGGGCTGCAGCTCTGGGCTGGCTCTGCCCTGCCAGGGCTCCATTTGGGCTGAGCCAGGGTCCCTCTCAACCTGGACATCRTTTTATCCCAAATATTCAAGCTTTGTCTGGAGGGTGAGGTCTGCCTGTTGTCACAGACAGGCTGTGAAATCATTCATGTGAGGGAGAGCCTTGTATTGGGTCAAGGTGCTGGCACAAGGAGGAAGGGGAGATGTCCCAGCCCGCCTGCATCCCCCCTGGGCTCCCCACATGTGTTCAAACCTGCCCTGCTGCCCCAGTCCTGGGAAGCTGCTTTGATAAAAAATGGGCAGTAAACTAATAAACAAATAGGGAATCCACTGCAGAGCAAATTATTCCTCCTTTCATCTTCTTGYACATATTTTTTCCCCTGCCTAAGTTCAGTGCCTTGCACTTGTTATTATTGAATTTTTGATCATTGATTTTGGGCTATTTATTCAGCAGATGGAGATTATCCTGAATTCCAAGCCCGCTTCTCCCCCTGCAAGCCTGCAGCACATAGGAACACAGAATAATTTAGATTGGAAAAGTCCTCTGACACCATCAATCCCAATGGTTCCCCCAACATTGCCAAGCATATCACTAACCCATGTCCCCAGGTGCCACATCCACAGAATCCATCCCCAGGCAGTGCCTCTCACCTCTGCCAGGAAATGACCCCATTTCACTTTCATCCACTTTTCAGCTGCAGCTGCTGACACTGATGCTGATCCCTGCCCAAACTCTTCCATTCAGCAGCTTTAGTCCCAAATCCCAGAAAACTAACCCCATCAACCCCCATCCATCTCTAYCAAAGGTGCCCATGGAAATTTGGGCACACCAGGGAACCACTTTTCCAAGCTTCACTCAGCTTCACTGGGTGAGTGTCAGCAGGAACATGTGTCAGGAGAAGGAGGAAACAGCAGGCTGATCAGGATGAAAACAATTTTTATATCCACTGGTGAAAATGGGTTCAATAAATATCTGCCCACCACAGCTGCMAAAGCCATTTCCCACAACAAAGGCYGCCCTTCTCTCCCACTGCCCCTTCCCTGTGCTGGGAGGATGTGCGTGCTGAGAACGACAGTTCTGAAACCTTGGCTGTGGAAGAAATACACCTAAAGTCACCTTTTCTGCTCATCCCTGTCCCCCCACAAGTAAATCCTGGGAGCTTGACCTATGGAGGTCAACGGAGCTCACTGCAGCCTCCAAGCATAGGGCGAGGCATGGGAATCACAGACAAAAACACCAGCAGAGAGGGAGAYAGGAACACACAGTGTGGGTTTGGCTGCCTCACCTTTGGTGTCCCCTTTGGRAGAAGCCTAACTGAGCTTGGGCACCAGGCTTTGGACCCAGGGAGCCCTTGCTCTGACAAATCACCTCCAGGACACAGGGCAAGGAAAGGAAAATGGTGATTCAGGTGTTCAGACCACCCTTGATCTTATTGCTCCAYGGAATGGGCTCTTCTCCATTGTTTCTCATGCCCTCCCCCACTCCCTGCTCCCATTTCCTCTCTCCTCTCCATCACCTCTTGTATCCTCCCTTGCTTCCTGCTCTCTGTCCCTCTCCGTTCCTGGTCCTTCTCTCTGTTCCCAGCCCCTCTCCCTGCTCCCTGTCCCTCTCCCTTCTCCTGGTCCTTCTTCCTCCTTTCCATCACCCCTAGTACCCTCACTGGGTCTCTGCTCCCTGTCCCTCTCCCTTCTTGTCCTTCTCAATCCACCCCCATCACCTCTCAAACCCTCATTCACTCCCTCTTCCTCATTCACTCCTGGTCCTCTCCTTGCTCCCTATGGCTCGAACACCATTTGCCTGGGAGTTGCCATGTGCTCCCTCCACTCCATCTCCCTTTCCATCCCCCTTGCCTCACAGCTGCTGGAGCCGTGTGGCCCCTTGCCATGCCCCCAACACGGGATGAAGCCCCGAGGCGTGG